CATAGATAAGTACAGGCCTTGACGCTCATCAAAGAAGCTTCTTTTTGCGACAGACAGAGGCTATTCCAGAGAACCATAACTTATCAAAGCATAGAAAATAAGTGTGAAGTGCCTATCTACAAATGGGACATGACATCTATACCCAAAGGTTTTAGAAAAGTGGGTAAGCATACTGTAAGAGCCGGATGACCAGGAGAACTGCTGCTGTGAGAGAGTATCTCTGTATGGTTACCTGCGTGTGATCACATGTGGAGCAGGAAGCTAATTGCTTACATCGTGAACTGCAAGCATGAAGCAGAGAGAAAAAACTGGAAAATGACATGAGTTTTAAAGCCTGCCTCTAGTGGCACCACCAACTGGATACCAAGTGTTCAAATACATGAGCCCACAGGCGACAGTTTCATTTAAACCACCACATTTGTCCAATTGGTCAACTCCACACCTAAGCATACACAGATAACCCTATAACATACACACATACACACACACACGTGCACACACACACACACACACACACACAGACACACACACGGGAAAGGACAGATATGATGTAAATACATTGTAGTTATGTATGAAATTCTAAAAATTTAATAGACGATAACATTGTTAATGTTTGTTCCTGCTTTTTCTTGTGAGATCTGAAGCTGTTAGGAGGGGTCTCCAGATGGAGGGGCTGTTGAATGGGTTGCACAGGGGCCAGCAAGCAGAACCTCATTGCCATGGAGTGAGGTGAGAGAAAGTGAAAGAGAATCTGAAAACCCCCATGGAGCTGTGACCCTGGAGTAGGGAACTGTGACTGGAGACAAAAAAAAACAAAAACAAAAAAACAAAAAACAAAACAAAACAAAAAAAAACCCCAAACAAAACCTGTAGGCACAATTAGTGTCAGAGATTTCTTTCTCACAGGAGTTTATTATGTAGACCAGGCTAGCCTTGAACTCACTGAACTTGATTCTTGAAAGAATGGAGGAACAGGTGATTAGGGGAAGTGGCTCTTCAGGTTGAATGTTGATTAAAAAAGAAAAAAAAAAAAAAAAGTAAGCCAGCCGGGCAGTGGTGGCGCACACCTTTAATCCTAGCACTTGGGAGGCAGAGGCAGGTGGATTTCTGAGTTCGAGGCCAGCCTGATCTACAGAGTGAGTTCCAGGACAGCCAGGGCTACACAGAGAAACCCTGTCTCGAAAAAAACCAAAAAAAAAAAAAAGTAAGCCAGGTGGTGCATATTTAATCTCAGCACTTAGGAGGCAAAGGCAGGTGTATCTCTGAGTTTGAGGCCAGCCTGGTGTACAGATTGAGTTCCAGGACATCTAAGGTGACACACAGAATCCCTATCTCAGGGCTTGGGGCTGGGGGGGGGTGCAAAATAGAGCTTTTTGGAATTTCTGAGGACTGAACAATTTATATGCAGACTTGGTTTCTTTTTTTTTTTTTAAAGATTTATTTATTTACTTTATTTATGAATATACTGTAGCTGTCTTCAGACACACCAGAAGAGGGCATCCAATCTCATTACGGATGGTTGTGAGCCACCATGTGGTTGCTGGGATTTGAACTCAGGACCTCTGGAAGAGCAGTCAGTGCTCTTAACCGCTGAGCCATCTCTCCAGCCCCAGACTTGGTTTCTGCTTCGAGAGAGGTTGCAGAAAACAGTGGGTGGTTGCTGACAGCATGGCTTCATCCTGAATAAGTTACTCTGCTTTACGTCTTCAGTGTAGAGACAATAACATTAACTGTTCCATCCAGTCTCTGTGAGGATAGACTGGCTCAGAGACGTAAAGGGCTTAGGGTAGTGTCTGGCATGAAAGTAGGTAAAGAAACAGACAGGGAGCATAGTGAGGCAAGTCTTTAATCCTAGCAGTTGGGAGCAGTTGGGAGCAGTTGGGAGGTGGGTTGTTGTGAGTTCAAGGTCAGTCTGGTCTACATAGTGAGTTCTAGGACAGCCAGAGCTGCATAGTGAGACTCTGTCTCAAAAGCAAAACAAACAAACAAACAAACAAACAAACAAACAAACAAACCCCCCAAAAGAAATAAAGAAAGAGAAGTGGTAAGGAAGGTTCCTTAGCATCAGAAACTGCCAAGTCAATGAACAAAAAGAAAACAAGAAATCAGGTGGGTGTGTGTGGGTTTTTTTTTTTTTTTTTTTTTTTGAGACAGGGTTTCTGTGTAGCCCTGGCTGTCCTGGAACTCACTCTGTAGACCAGGCTGGTCTCGAACTCAGAAATCTGCCTGTCTCTGCCTCCCAAGTGCTGGGATTAAAATCATGCACCACCACTGCCTGGCAAGAAATCAGTTTCACAATAGATAGGTTTGCAAAATGCTAGGGGGTAAAAGGAGGCTCTCCTAGACCTAATTAACTGACAATATCTCACAGCTATTTTGAACCTCTGCAGAACACCTATAACTATCCAAGGTTTCCATTTACAAAACAAAGGTACAGAGTTCTTTTCTTTCTTTTCCCATTCCCCTCAAAGGTGACTAGACCGAAACTAGGGCTTTCCCTCCCCTTGGCAACCTACTGCACCCCAGAGCATGCGGACTTGATCAGCTCCAATTTCAGTTATCTGGCTGTGTAGCCCCTGGGGCTCTCCAGGCTGCAGGTTACAACCTTCTGCTAGCTGTCTTTCCTCTCACCTGTGACTGGGTGACTTGCAGACCTTAAAAATCCTTTTCTACACCTTCACTGAGGAGTCAAAAGAGACCTTGGGTCTGAAGAAAGACTACTCACAGTTCCTCAAGGCTTTTGTTCTGAATTTCCATGTAAATAAAATTTCCAATTGAAACTGCATAACCATTTTTCTTATCTCACTGCCCCTGTTTAAGAAGCTAGAGTGGGGGCTGGGCATTGAAACTCACATCTGTAATCACAGCAGTTGGAAGGCCTAGGCCAGAGGAGCTTGTAGCCTAAACTCATCTCCATTTATGGCAACCTTCCTGCTTCAGTTTGCTGAGTGATGCGATTACAGTATGTCCAGTGCTATTCACACTGACCTAGTGTTCCTAACATATAGTAAGGGTCATTGATGCACCCCCAAATCTGACTTTTGTGTTGGCTAAACAGAACATGTTTGCAAGATAGTCTTGGTGCACAAACTGCCAGCCAGCAGTCTCTGTGAGGCTGATAAACAGTATTTACACTTTGGTTTCATTGACTCACACAATAAATGTACCAAGGGTTTTTCACTGGAGGCTGGGTGACACAGGGTCACCATTTTACACATTAAAAAAAGATGAAATTTGAGCCACCAAATAAGTTGACCATGACCACAGGTTGGCAAACGAGTGGGACTTGAGCTAAGTTTGTTTCCATAACCCAAGGTTATGACTTAGAGGATGCAGAGGCTGTGGTCAAGGTTGAATGTATCCATTTATCCTGAAGGATAAGTCAGCAAAGAAACAGAAGTGGGCAAGTCAGTCAGAGAATATCATTAAAACCAAGGATCAAACCTGGAGGTTTTAAAAAAGAGAGGAAGAGGTTTTCAGATGAAGGGTCAGCTCTTGCACACCTTGGTCTCAATACAAATTGCTGGAACTTAAGAGTCCTGCAGAATCCAGGTGAAGTGAGGTGCAACCCATTAGCTCCAGCACTTAGAAGGCAGAGGCAGGTGGATTTCTGAGTTGGAGACTAGCTTGTCTACTGAGTGAGTTTACAGAACAGCTAGGGATAGCTAGATACAGAGGCAGGCTGAAGGCCTCAGGCCTGTTATTCCAGGTACTCAAGAGGGTAAGACAGGAAGATTGCAAGTACAAGGCCAAACCCCTACCACAGGGGCTAGAGAGATGGTTCACTGGGTTCTATTCTCAGCCTCTATGTGGTGGCACACAATATCTGTAATTCTAGGTCCAGGGGATCTGATGCCCTCTTCTGAGCTCAGCACAGACATACATTCAGGCAAACATCCATACACATTAAAACCAAACCAAACCAAACCAAACCAAACCAAACCAAACCAAACCAAACCAAACCAAACCAAACCAAACCAAACCAAACCAAACCCATCCACCCACCAAATGAACAACTATAACAAAGCTCCAAATACAGCCACTGAGATGGTTCAGTGGGTAAAGGTTCTGGTTGGTAAGCCTGATGATATGAATTCCATCCCTAGGATCCACAGGATAGACAGAAGGAGAGAAGTGACTCCTGAAAGTTGTCTTTTGACACATGCTCCCACATATGTACACACACACACACTCAGGCACACACGCAAGCAATTAAGAAATAATAAATAAGTAAGTAAATAAATAAATAAATAAATAAATAAGCAAGCTATAGGCTAGGCTGGCCTTAAAGTCAACAGCGGTCAGACTATTTCTACCTCCCAAGTGCTGGTGTTAAAAGCGTGAAACATCACTCCCGGCTGGCATTCTCTCTCTCTCTCTCTCTCTCTCTCTCTCTCTCTCTCTCTGGCATTCTCTTTTTTAATAAATTATCTCTACTTTTCTTTTTTTTTCTTTTTGTTTTTCGAGACAGGGTTTCTCTGTGTAGCCATGGCTGTTCTGGAACTCACTCTGTAGACCAGGTTGGCCTCGAACTCAGAAATCCGCCTGCCTCTGCCTCCCAAGTGCTGGGATTAAAGGCGTGCGCCACCACCGCCCGACTATGTCTACATTTTTATCTCAAAAAATAAAAGGAAGGCTGGGAATATAACTCAAGGGTAGAGTGCTTGCCTATCATTCATAAAACCTTAATTTTAATTTGCAGAAAACCCTCCACACACACAAAGGAAGGAAGTTAGAAAGAAGAAAAGAGGAAGAAGTAAAGAAAGAGAAGGAAAGGAAAGGAGAGGGAGGAGCAGGAACGGCAGCACAGTTGTAAAACGGCGACAGATGACTACAAGTTCCAGAGAGCGACGCGCGAATTTTCCCGCCAGCGCCTCGGCCCGCCTTATGTGAACTACAAATCCCGGCATGCCCCGGGCGCACCGGTCCTCGCCCCTCGTCGGTTCCGCCCCCTTTTCCCCCACAGCCCCCGCCCGCCGGGTTGGCCTCGGAGAGTTTGTCCGGTGGCCGTGGTAGACGGAGGTGCAGTGAGAACCCCGGCAGCAGCACGATGGGTGACTCCAAAGTGAAAGTGGCAGTACGGGTCCGGCCAATGAACCGAAGAGGTGAGCGCTCGTCCCGGGCCGGGGGCGACAGGTGCCTGTGGTGGTAGTGCCTCGGCGTCCCGGGGGTCTCGGCGGGCTCCCTTCAGCGCGCGTGCGCCCTCGACGGCGCGGTCGGGCCCTCAGCCCTCCGCCCCGCCAGCTGTCACCGAGCTTGCCAGGCCTGGGGCAGCTCCGGCCTCACAGCCATCCTGTGTACGCAGCTCTTAGGGCGGACAGCCCCACTTTTCGATTTTCCTGATTCCATCCCTTGAACCTGCACCTTGTGGCTGTTTGCAGGAAAGGGAGGACGTGCCTTTTTAGTTCTTTCTGGTTTATGATTGTCGAGAGGTTTCTTTTTTTCCTTTGCTTGAAGTGATAGTCATCATCTCAACAATAAATAGCCCCAGTGCCAAGATTCTTGGGAAATTGTATCTTTCAGACATGCTCTGAAGTCTGTAGGGAGGGTAGGGAATGTAGATAAACCCAGGACACGTAAATCATCTATCTAAGTTGGAAGGACTGAAGCCCAACTTGAGTCCGAAGAGTAGCTGGTTTTTGCCTTTGCGGCTTCACCAGAGGGTGACTGGGCAGGGTACTTAAAATGAGGTGATGTGTTTGAAAACACTTTATGTACAGGTCTTGTTATTGAGGTTGCTGCTGCGCTCCCAGGAGATGGAATTGCCGTTAATTGATTTAGACTACTGACTAGCTAGAATCATTTTTAAGTGCAGGACTCACTTTCTAAGGTTTCTAGTTTGTTTTACTGTGACCAAAATCAAGTGTGTAGGAAATAGTTTTTCTATCTCCTTGCCCTTTTGTGTATCTATTGAGGTAAACAGGTGCAACAGTCGGCAAAGATTTCTCTGGTTCGTTGTTCTGTGGGAAGTTGGTTTCTCTGTTTTCTTGGCGTTGGTTTGCCTATTTGAACCTGCTTAAGTCTATGAAGCAAGTTTTCTCCTGAAGACTTAAGTTCTTAAGCTCTCAGCTAATTGCCTCCTTGCATCCAGGTTATCACAAAACAGAGTGAGTAGCTTAGAAGTCTGAAAGTTTTCAATTCTTCCATTTTTGAGTATCCAGACATCTTTATTTTAGATCACTTCAAGCTCATTGTGATTATTACCGCGATTAAAAAAAGAAAGAAAGAAAAAGAAAACAGCCAAATGAAATCCGACTTATCTGGGAATGGTTCGGAAAGGATGGGTTCAGCACATTCCTAAAATTTCCTTTTTGCAAAAACACTTGGAAATGTCAGTGCTGAAGGAGGCCTCTAGCCAGCCACCACAGCAGGGCTTGGCACAGATAGTTAGAGCCCGGCTCTTCCTTGTTTTCTCTTACTAGGAGGAAGCTACTGTCTTTAGTTTGCTATGCTTGTAATTCTGACAGTGGCTGTTACTAATGCTCAGAGTTTTGAGACATTCACTGACTGATGTTAGCTGTAGAGTCCATGTTAGCTGTTCCTTGTATTGCAGATTGTCTTCCTCTCTCCTTCTCTTCCTCCACCTTTCTTACTTTTTTTTTTTCTTTTTCTTTTGAGACTGGGTCTCTCTACATATCCCTGGCTGCCCTGAAACTCATTCTGTAGACCAGGGTGGCTTCAAGTTTATAGAAATCCGCCTGCCTCTGCCCAGATTAAAGGCATTCATCACAACACCTGACCCTTCTTTTCTTTTTAATACATAGGTGCTAAGGATCTGAACTCTTGTCCTCACTTGTATTATCCACTGAACCACCATCTGAGCTCAGCCAACCACTCAGGCATCTCCTCAGTCCCATTTTTTTTTTTTCTCATTTATTTATTTTGAGGCAGCCTCCTTGTGTAGACCAGGGTGGCCTGGAACTTGCAGTCATCTTCCTCCCTCAGCCTTCTGAGTGCATTGCAGGGGTGCACCAACTGCTTCTGGCTGAACTCACTTTGAAATGAATGTTTACAATTTGGCTCCGTTCTCCAGCGACAACTGCCTTCTAGTCTCTTCGCTTACTCTATCTTCTGTTTCCAGTGCTCATCACAGATAATTTCTTCATCCTCAGGTTATTATGCAATATAATAGAGAGGAATCTTAAAGCATGTTATTTCTAAGTTGGCATCTTGAATTCCTATGAAAAGGCAGTAACAAAATTGAGCTCCTTTTTGCTGATTTAGAAAAGAATTGTATTTAAACATTACTTCTTCTGGGGAATGTAGTGTTTTAAGTGATAGCATATGGCTGTCAAGTAGTTGGGTCTAGTCCTGGGTTCTCCTGACTTAGTGTGTTTGCAGGAAGCATCCTGAAGATTGACATGGAGACAGGCTGAGACTGGGTCACTGAGTTGTACTTCTGATCATAGACTCTATTGTTTGAGTGACATTTGTGTCTTTTGAAGGAACTCTGAAAGGTTTCCAGAACTCTTCAGCGTAGGGGTCGGTTCTAGTGTGACTCAGTGGCTGGTTGTACTTAAAGGGCTTCAGCATTTCTGCTCAACTGTCTGTGGGTTTGGGAAACTTAATTGAATATCAAGCAGTAGTTCCTAATTTAATGATAACTAGAGTTGTAGTGGCTAATTTGTCAAGATAAAGGAAGTGTGTGTGTGTCTGTTCGTCTCTCTGTAATCTTAGAATTTGGTGGAGGCAGAAGGATCTCTGAGGTGAGTCTGGGTTTTGTACATAGTAAAATTGCTTTTTTTAAAAAGCAAAAAATTTCCTTCATCCTTGTCTGCTAATTAACCAACCTTCCTTCCTCCTGGCCTCTATTTTCTACTTGTTTTTTTTTCCGTTGATGATACTGGGGACTTAACCAGGGCCTTGCATACACTAATGTTTTCATTCTGGTGTTATGCTCACATGTGTGTCTAATCTTACATAGCCTTAACATTACAGCTTCTCGTCATTGAAATAGGAAGCTAACCTGCTAAGGAAAGGGTAAACGTTGTTTCTTTTTTTTTTTGTTTTTCGAGACAGGGTTTCCCTGTATAGCCCTGGCTATCCTGGAACTCACTCTGTAGACCAGGCTGGCCTCGAACTCAGAAATCCACCTGCCTCTGCCTCCCAAGTGCTGGGATTAAAGGCGTGCGCCACCACCGCCCGGCGTAAACGTTGTTTCTTAAAAGATCTTGAATTTGTGTTTGCAGAGGATGTCCCTCTTTCTTTCTTTTTTTTGTTATTGTTTTGAGATTGGGTGTTAGGTGACCCAGGCTAGCCTCAGACTTGCTGTGTAGTTGAGGCTATCCTTCTGCCTCTACCTTCTGAGTGCTGGGATTACAGTCTTATTCTATCAGGCTTAGTTTTTGTCTGTTCTTTTAGATTGTACAACTCAGCAGATACGTTTACATTCTTCCACATACTGCACAGAAGACCGTCTCATATCTTTTTTTTTTTTTTTTAAAGGTTTATTTATTTATATGAATACACTGTAGCTGTCTTCAGATACACCAGAAGAGGGCATCAGATCCTACTAGAGATGGTTGTTAGCCACCATGTGGTTGCTGGGAATTGAACTCAGGACCTCTGGAAGAGCAGTCAGTGCTCTTAACCGCTGAGCTATCTCTCCAGCCCTCATATCTTATTATAAATAATCTGAAAGGCTTTATTTTTGTTTAATGTGCATGAGTTTTTTTCCCCTTCATACATGTGTATACACCTTATATGTACATTATCCAAAGAGGCCAGAAGAGGATGAGGATTTCCTCAAACTGGAGTAATAGGCTTTATGAGTTTGCCATTACTATTACTATTATATGGGTTCTGGAAACTGAACCTTCGGTTCCTCTGCTAAAGCAGCTAGTGCCTGTCACCACAGAAGCATCTCCTCAGCCTCTCTGAAAGTTCTCTAAGCATAAGTCCCATTAGATCAGGGACATTCTCCTTTTCAGGAATTTGATACTTTACATTGGGTAGTTTAAAATAATATTTAATAGGTAAATGAATATTGCCTACTTGCCAGGCTTTGAGCTTATACTAGATTGCATGGGAGCTTCAATCAAGGAACTGCCAGTTTAAAAAATATGTGCAAGGTTAGCCAGGAAAAATAAAACCATTATAAAGTGTTTGGAAAATACTTTTGCTAAAGGAATGGAACAGAAAATTATGACAGAAGTTGAGCCAGAAGGATTGTCAGGTGTTCCTGAGCATGTGTGATAACTCTATTTCAGAAGGTATTTCCAATGAGTTTAAAGTTTGCATTCTGCATTGTTTAAAGGTAAAACATAAAAAAGTCAGAGACTATGTCTAAAAGAGTCAGCACTTACAGAAGTCCCGGTCCGGGTGGTAAAGTGGAGGGACCATGATGTAAGCATTGAAGGTGGTGCCAACCAAGTCAGATATGCTACGGGAGAGCAGAACTTGAACCCCTGTGTGTAACTAAGAATGAATCTATTAGTGAGGCCCTTGGTGAGTGGAAACCGTGTAGTGCAGGGGACCAGGGCTGGAAGAAGCTGTGAAAGGAAATGCATTGCTCTTGTCAAGAGGATTTTGCCAAAGACCTTGTTTGTGTTGTCCAGTGTTGTCTGTGCCTTCAAGTATGGTTTCTGTATGAGGAAATGACTGTCATGTGAGGAGAGACGATGAAAAGATAAACAGGTAGAGCTCAGTGCTACTTAGTAAGTGCCAGGTGAGTGACAGGGACACTTAGGAATTTAGAGGAGTGAAAGACCTCTGCATGCCTGTGATTAGGGAAGACTTCACCTTGGAGGGCAGATCTGGGTTACAAAACATTCCCAGCAGGAGGCCTATGATTTCCCTGGGTGGGAGGGTTAGACCTTGGTTCTCTGAGGAGGAAGCCAAGCACAAAGGCAAGAATGAGCAAGGCCTGTTTAGGCAGCAGAGACTAGATTGGCCTGTCCCAAAGGAGGATTCTACAGAGTTGACTGGAGGAAGGGGTGAGGAGGGCTGGGAGGAGCACGCGACTCACTCCTGCCGACAGCTAGGCCAGAAGTCAGCTTTGGTGGCTGGTCTGGAGCTCTCTTTAGACTTTTAGAACCTCATGTGGCCACAGGTATGAAGGAAAAAGATTGCTGGGTTGCAAGGCAAGCTCAGAAGACTAGGTAGA